TCCCCCTGGGGTCCTGCTGCCCCACAGCAGCCTGTCCCTGATCCCCCCCGATCCCCCTGGGGTCCTGCTGCCCCACAGCAGCACTGCCCCACTGCCCACAGCCCATTCCGGCCTCTCCCACTCCCGCCTGCAGCTGTTTTGGGCTCACCTGTCTCTGCTGAAGTGAAGAGATTCAGCTTTTCCCCCCAAGGACACAGCGGGATTGTGCAATCCCTCCCCTCCCTTGGTCAATCATTCACCCACACCCCTGGTCAATCAATCAATCATTCTGCTGTGGTTCCACTCCAGCAGCTGATGGGGAATTTCCCAGCTCCCACCTCTCTAAAACCCTCAGTGAAACACAAAACCCCAGCACAAACCCCACATTTCTCTGCTCCCCGGCTGGCCCTGCCCACTTTGGGATGGATTCCACCCAGAACCCCCCCCGGAATGACCCACAGGGGGAATTATTCCCGACAATCCAGCTCCAGTCTGGAGCAGCGCTTACGCCAGGAGCTTCTTGCGGGCTTTGTCCGCCTTCAGCTTGTGGATGTGCTCCATCAGGATCCGCTTGTTCTTGAACACGTTGCCCTTCACCTTCAGGTACAGGCTGTGGTACCTGCGGGGCCCGGCAGGGTGGGGACATCAACTCCTGCCCAGCTCCCGCCTTCCCGAGGCTGGGAATGGCTGGGAATGGCCAGGGAGGGCTGGGAATGGCTGGGATCGCCCAGGGAATGGCTGGGATCGCCCAGGGAATGGCTGGGATTGCCCAGGGAATGGTTGGGATTGCCCAGGGAATGGTTGGGATTCCTCAGGGAATGGCTGGGATTGCTCAGGGAGGGCAGGGATTGCTCAGGGAATGGCTGGGATTGCTCAGGGAATGGCTGGGATTGCTCAGGGAATGGCTGGGATTGCCCAGGGAATGGCTGGGATTGCCCAGGGAGGGCAGGACTCCGGGCTCTGGCTGGGGCACAGGGCTCACATGTGGCGGTCGATCTTCTTGGACTCGCGGTAGCGCCGCAGCAGCCGCCGCAGGATCCGCATCCGCCGCATCCAGGTGACCTTCTCGGGCATGCGGGCGTTGGCCGTGCCCTTCCTCTTGCCTGGAGCGGGGGAACAGGGTGAGAGGGAGCCCAAATTCCTGCCAGCTCAACCCCACACTCATCCCAAAGCCTTTCACCACCCTCCTCCGCTCAAAGAAACAACCACAGACACAACCCAGGGGTTTCCTGTCGCCGTCCCAAGCTCAGGGGGACGATTCCCCGGGGTGTGTGAGCGGCAGGAGCTGTGGGAGAGGAGGAATTTCCCCCATTCCCAGCGGGATGCAGCACTCACCGATGCCCATGTGCCGGCCCTTCCGCCGGGCCAGCGTGTTCTTCCTGCAGCGGGCACGGGAGTGCACGGTCACGGGCTTGCGGATGATCAGCCCATCCTTGATCAGCTTCCGGATCTGCTGCCCTGCAAAAGCGTCCGGCACCTCCCGTGGGGCTGCCAGGCCAGCACTGACCCCGCGGGGATGGACAGGATCCCAAGGAATCGGATTCCCAAGAGGAAGGAGGAAGGCAGCCCCCTCCTCAGAGCCCTGTTCTCCCTCCTGATTCTGCCAGGGAACCTCCAGTGATCCCCATTCCCTCACTGATCACCTCAGAGGACACCACCGGGCACCTCAGCAGTGCAAAACCCCACTTTAAACTGTTACTTCACCTAAACCAAGGGCTGAACCAAACGTTTTGGGAGAGCTTCCCCAGACTCGATGACTTCACCAGATCTCAGCCAACTTCCCAGTCACCGAGCTTCCCCAGACCTCTCTCCCCACGCTCCCGCCGGATCCCTTTCCCACAGGGAGAGCCCCTCACGCACGGGAGTTGGCGTTGGCGATCTCGTTGGTCTCGTTGGGATCCAGCCACACCTTCTTCTTGCCGCAGCGCAGGACGCTGGAGGCCAGCCTCTTCTGGAGCCGGAGCATACTGCCACACGGGTGAGCACGGATCAGGGGGTCTGCAGCCCCTCAGGGACCCCAAACCCCCTCAGGGGACACCAAACCCCCCCTTTAGGGACCGTCACCCCTCCCAGGGCAGCCCGAACCTCTCTGGGAGCGTCCTCACCTCCACCAGGTGACTCCGCACCGCCCTCAGGGACCCTCACCCCCCTCAGGGACCCTCATCACCCTCACGGGACCCTCACCCCC